TAGTTCTACAAAAGTTACATTTACCCAAATATACATATTTCAATGTGATTGACTTGGGTAGAAGGGTGCTTGCTGTTTCTTGTCTAGAAGCTCTAGTCTGTACTTGTGTTCATTTCTATTAGAGACATTACTATTAGTCCAAATGCCAAATCTCAAACCCTGACAAAAATTATTGTTTTTCTGTTCCTTTCTTCTCTATATAGGTCCTTTAGATGTATCTAGTTTGTGGTAATTTTTTTGTCATCCCCACTATCTCTATTTTAGTTCAGGAACTCATTACTTCTCTTGTGGACAACAACAATAGTCTCACTGATTTCTGTGCTTCTCATCTGCTTTCTTTTAATCATTTTCATATCGATACGGGACATATGTCTTTCTAAACACAAACTTGATTATGTGAACTCACTACTTAAAACCTATTAGTGATTTCCTTTCCTCATACTGAAAATTAAACTTCTTTGATTTTGTGTTTTTACTGAGTCTTAGCTCCTACATCTCTTCTTCACACCCATATTTCGGCAATATCAGAATATGTGTAGTTTCTTTATTCACCCAACTGCTTTATGCCTTTATTCCTGTACACATATTATTTTCCTGTAATATTCCTAAACTTCATTCTGCTCCTATTATTTGCTGTACTCTTCGTTCATTCAGGCTGCTATAACAAAATATCATAGGCTGGGTGATTGATAAACAACAGAAATTTATTTCCTATAGGTCTGGAGACTAGCAAGTCCAGGATCAAGGCACCAGCAATTTCAGTGTCTGGTGAGAACCTGTTCCTCATGGAAGGTCCCATCTATGTGTTCTCACATGGAAGAAGGGGCATACAGGATCCTGCAGACCTCTTTCATCAGGGCACTAATTCTATTGATGAGGGCAAGGCCTAATAACCTTTCCAAGGTCTCCCCCTTAATACTACCTCACTGAGGATTAGATTGCAACATATGAGTTTAGGGACTGGAGAGACAAAAACATGCAGACCATAGCATACTCATGCTTGAAAAACCCACTTAAATCCTGCATCTTTTGTAAGGAATTTCCTGACTAGCTCTAAATATGACACAGAATAGCCATGCCATTCACTGTTTTAATGTCTGTATCTACTTAATTTTCTGTATTCAACATCAAGGAATACAATTCCTACAACCATTCTTTTTATAACATGTTTTCTCAGCAACTTATTTTCTTTAATACTGTCTTTTGAAACACTGTATCTTTTTGTTTATTTGTGACATTCCTAATTAAACACACTTTAACAATAATTTTCTAATACCTCCAGATTCTACACCTGAAGCTATTCATTTCCTTTTCAAACCCGACAATTGACTTTACATGTCATCAATTTCTCAGCCTTGGGTTTCGTGGTGAATGCCTTTTTAGGACAGATGGAGATTAAGTAGGTCAGTGTGTAGACTTCCCAGATTGGGATTGTTGCAAAAGTCATGAAGAGACACATAAGAATAAAGATGGAAAGGAGAATCCACGAAGTTTATTCAATAGATAAATTCCCAAAACTCAGTGGGAAGATGCTGGTTCTAATGCTGCCGCTAACTCATCAGATGACTCAGGGCACACAGAGTGATTCTCTGCCTCTCAGTTCTCTAATTGACGAAACATACAGCATAGAATAGGGGGCTAATAATGCCTCTGTAATCTGAAATTATTTTACCCTAATTGGTAAATTACTCAGGCTAAATTGTTTGCATGATAAGGGAAAAATCTTTTAAAATAGTAATTGTCATGAATTCTGTAAAAAATAAGTCATTATATATATATTTACCTCATCAATAAGGGTACCTACACAATGCATATTTGTATACCTAACGTTTAACTGTACCCCACAATTTCAAAATAAAAAATATATATTAGAAAAAAAGGAAAGAAAATGTTCTTTTTAGAATAGATTTTCTATATACCAAGCATTAATTTTGATATAAATGAAATGTATTTTTCATGTGCATTCTCAGTTGAACCATTATCATTAATTATTCTCACCTTTGTCATTAATCACATTTTAATTTGGAATTTTTCATTTTGAGAGCTCTTTATTCTTCTAACCATTTCCCTATTCTTGTTCCCATATCATAGTACCATAATTCTTAAACAATGGCACAATAATTCTTGAAATAGATTAAGAAGAATCCTCTCACTTTGTTTTATTCTTAATCCTTTGTACTTCCAAATCCATTTTAATATTCTTGTCTATTTATATACAATCACACATATGTATACATGTAACTTGGCAAGATTTTTATGGGAATTGTGTTGAATCTATAGATCAATTTTTTTAGATGTTGTATATTTAGAAAGAGAGAAAGAGATATGTAAATATCCATAAAAACATAAATGCAAGGGGGGGACCAAAAAAAGCTCCAGAATTTATTTATTAAAAAGTGTGCTTTTATTTCTACATGTTTAAACTTCTGTCACCTTCAAAGTACTCTCTGTTTTAAGCAATACACCTATGGAGATGATTTTTTCACTGCTCAAAAGTTTTTGAACTTGTCAATTTTGATGCCTTTTAGTGCTTCTGCCTTTTTTTTGTTTCACTTCTTCCACATCAGAAAAATGTTTCCTTTTGAGGACTCTTTTCATCAGAGGAACAACAACAAAAAAGTCATTCGGGTGAGTTTGGGTGAATAACGCACGGGGGTCATGCCATTTTTAAGTCAAAAACTATGCTGTGCTGGCAGGTGAGTTCATAAATCACCCATCATAAAATGGGTAAACTCGTTGAAATATTCCCCAAAAAACATTCACTGAAGCCGAACACAGTCTCTCACAATGCTAGCTGGTACACTGATGCCAATGAGTTCCTAGAACACTGGCCTCGCGGTGGAAGCCTGCATTGTAAAGGGTCAGCCTCCAAACGATAATCCCAGATTTTTTGTCTTTGTCCCCCCTCTGATGCATATATGTGTAGACACAGAGAGAAAGACAGAGACAACAGAAAGAGATTATTTAAACAATTGGGTCACTGGAGTTTGAATGCTGGGAAGTCTAAAATGCGTGGTAGGCCAGGAGTCTAGAGGCCCAAAGAGTTGATGTTGGAATCCAAAGGGTCTCCTATTGTCAGAATCCCTGCTTCCTCAGGAGAGATCTGTCCTTTTCTAAAGGCCTTCAACTAATGGCACAGCTCATCCACATTATGAAGGATAATTGTTACTCAAATTCTACTAATGTAAAGGTCAATTTAATGTCATATTATGTTCACAGCAACATTCAGACTTGTTTGACCAAATATCTGGGTCCCATTGCCTAGGTTATCTTTCACATTAACTAACCATTCTGTCTGTGAATGCATTAGTATATACTTTTTTATAAATACAAGTATAGTGTAGAATGGTTTAACTTTTGAATTATAAATTTGTATAATTGTGTTAAACACATACATGACTATGTAACTATACATAGTTTTTAGACATTTTTATTTTGTTCTATTTTCTTATTGATTCTGTTTATCTGTCAGTTTTTTAATATGCACCCTGTTATCTGTTAAAAATAATACTTTATTGTGTTTATTACTGCCCAATCATTTTACAACATGGTTATAATAAAGACACTTGACTTATTCCTGAAAAAAAAATAATTGTCATGAATTCTGTAAAAAAAAAGTCATCATATATATATATTTATATAATATATATTTTTTTCTTTTCTTTTTTTTTTAGTTGAAGTTTCCCTCTGTCACCCAGGCTGGAGTACCATGGCATGCTCACAGCTACCGCAGCCTAGACTTTCTGGGCTCAGGTGATTCTCCTCAGCCTTCAAAATAGCTGGAACTACAGGCCTGCGCCACACCATATCTGGCTAAACTTTTGATTAATTGTAGAGATGAGGTTCTGCCAAACTTCCCAGGCTTGAATCCCTGACGTCAGGCAATCCTCTCTCCTCCACCTCCCAAATGCAGGAATTACTGGCATGAGCCACTGCACCTGGTAATAATTTTATCTTGATAAACTCCAATTTAGCAAGTAAAATCCTCAGGAAGTGTCAGAATAAAAATATTAACTGACTATCAAAATATTTTTCCTCATTTAGATACATGGGCAGAAAAATAAAGGCTTCAAAACATATGTAATATAGTTAAATGTCTGACAGATCTGAAGAGCTTTATACAAAATCAGTTATATAAATTGCATTTTAAGTGTAACAAGTGATCAGTTTTAGCAATGGAAAAGCGCTCTTTACTAGCACTTAGACAATAAGGCATTCTAATTTTTTTTTTTTGAGTTGGAGTCTCACTCTGTCACCCAGGCTGGAGTCTAGCGGCATGCAATTTTAAGGACTTGAACAATTTAATCTGAGGAAAAATATTGTAGTATTTAAGGTGACTATATTTTTATAATAAGCAAACATATTTGCATTAATTAATTAATTATGATAAAGACAATTCAAGAAATTCCAGAGAATATGATATTCTGAATGGTATAAAATGAGCTTTGGGTTTATGGACCAAAATCTGCCCCTAAATAATCTCCAGAACTCTGTCCATTTTATGCAATAGCTTAATTTTTCTTCTATCTTGGCCTAACTTATCAAAAACAGAAATCTGATTTGTGAGAGTAGCTTTATGGAAAGAAAAGTTTACTTGTCTGTAAACTGTGTTCTGAAGATGAAAGTAAACATACAGAATATGGGTTGTTTCTCTACACGTTGCCAATCATTATAATTGTGTGCCAAGGCAATTATCATAAATTAATTCCTATGTTAAGAGGCATTAAAGACACTAGCCTAATGTAATCCCTTTTAAAGAGGCATTATCAATGGAAGAACACTAGCAGAAAAGGCTTGAGGGGGATGAATCCAGTCCAGCCTGAAAAAAGTCTGCACCAGGTTTGAAAAATCACCCCATCCTCCTGTGTAAGTAAGATGCTAAGAAGCACAACTGCTTTTGGAATCTTAGTCCGTGTGTTATTCCGTGAAGGAGGTGTAAGTGGAGTGAGACAGAGATGGTACCTGGGAATTCTGAGGTACCTGCTCCTTTCTGAGACAGATAGGGATCAGGAGCCGGACGACGGGGACCAGACCACCAGCACTGCATCAGAGGATGCTCTCTAAGTAAGACCATGGCGCTTAAGAACATTAACTACCTTCTCATCTTCTACCTCAGTTTCTCAACGCTTATCTACATAAAAAGTAAGCCTTTCCCAATTATTAAACTTTTGGCACTTGTCCTGGCTTATTTCTGGTTTGTTTTATTTCTTATAAATAGTTCATAATGTTGTATGTTCTACAAAATACAATGCTAAAAAAAGTTTTTATTTCTTTCTGGTGTGAGCAAGTATCTTGTGTTAAGCAAACCAGTGATGCCAGTAAATGTGAACAGTCAATTTTATGATTCCATGATTTCCAAAAGGTATCTAGGTGTAGAAAAATTTTTTTTCTTAACTTTTTAGTGGTGAGCAGGAGAATGAAATAGTCACATGGGAAAAGGGTACTTTGTTGTGTTTACACGTTTATAAGATAGGTTTGGCACTTTATAATGTATATCCTTCCTTTAAAAGAAAATTATTCATAAGTTTTGTTGCATTTTATTCCCATATACAACATATTTATTATCACTTCTAAAGAACTTTGTATCATAACATTTGCTCTCATAATTAATGGGATAGTCAACGTTTCCCACAGATACTAGTTCAAAGTGTTTCACCAAAGGAATGGGCTTTTATTGTATGTGCTTCTGTTTATAAATGTAGATTTTATTTTCCACACATTTCTTAAAATAGAAACAAGAACAATGTTTCTGGCATAATCTTGTCAGTTCAACAGCAATATGGAAAATCAGAGGAGACCAAATGGCCCCAGCTGTTTGTTTTAGAAGGACAGTAGCTATTGAACACATTTAAAATGAAGACAGGGAGAGTGTGTGCTTGTCAAAGGGGCCGTGTGATTTGTGTCTGTTGAATCTGAATATCAATAAGGCAAAGCATAGAGCAGCTGCCGTTGAACAAGACAACTTGGCATTAGCACACAGTGTCGTGTAATCTGGGTCACCGTCTGTGGCTGCGCCAGTGAGATTGTTACTTGTACAGTTTATAGCTGAACAAATATTAGAGACTGGGTGAAGATAGAAGCAGGTGCTATGGCTGGAAGGTAGCTGAAGGCAAGTACAGAAAAATAAAGTCTAACTTTAAACAAATGAGTACGATTGCAACACACACACATATGATTTTTTTCAGAGGTACACTTGTTAAAGAGTTGTTATTTACTAGTTATTTACTCTCCCTGAAACTTAAAGTGGACTCCAGGAAATGAGAAGTGGGTAAGAGAAGTACTATGTTGAGATGTGCTGGTGGGAAGAGAAAGGGAGGAACATAAATAAGACACTTAAAATAAAAGGTGAAGTAAGTGTGTGTTACATTTTATAGCAAAGAGCTTTGTCATTTCAATGTGATATATATTAAAAATTGCGGCAGTTTGTTTTACAGAAAATGAATATGCAACTTTTAAAGCATCCATATATCTTATCAAGAGTATAAAAGCTGTGAATTGATAATTACATATACATCACTTGCTTTTGCTCTTTTTCGGTGGGTGATTTTGTTGATAGACTCTAAGTATTTTTTAATTATTTAATTTATTCTTTGGTACAATATTTTATTAGTTTAAAAAAGTAAATTTGGAATGTTATTTTGTTCAATTTTTTAAGCAGGCAGACTTTTGTGACAAGATATTTGTTGGCACAATATGACGATATTGCCTTCCTAGTCAAACATTTAGTTTAAACTTTTTTTAAAAACCTGATTTTAAAACTTTCAGCAATCTGCATAAACCTTCTTTCCCCACTTTTATTATTTAGTACTCTTGGCATAAATCCTGTGTTCCAGCCAAATTAATAAAATATCTAATAGTAAAAATGACTAACATTGTGTTAAGCATTTTATATATGCTGTATTCCATTTAATTCTTACAATAACCCTATAAGGTAGATACTATTATAATCATTCACATGTTACAGAAGAGGAAACAAAATTCTCAAATTGCTATACTGCTATATCTCAAACTTGGATGCACATCAAAGAGCTGGAATGCTTGTTTGAGATACAGCCTCTCAATACTCAGTGTGTCTAGAGTAGATCTAAGGAAACTACAATTTAACAAGATCTTCCTTTCAAATGCAGGTGATCAAAAGCTCTAAACTACACAATGGCTCTTTATCGAGAACCCACGATGTGATGATGCTGGGAAGTATCAGAAGAGTTAAACGTGAACATATCCCTCTCTTCAAAGGGATTATTGAGGAGAAAAGATGAATAATATGAGCTTTATGAATGTTATTCCCACCTATATACATAAACACCTTATCATGTAGCATTTACTATTAATTCAGTTTTACAGGTGAAGAAACGGAGGCATACGGAAATCTATTAACTTGCCAAAGGCCATTCTGCTACTGAATGGTGGCCCTGGGACTTGAACCTGGTGATCTAGCTCTGGAGTTGGTGCCCTTAGGTTACAGGTACTCACTCCCATGAAGTGATAATGCATAAAGACTCAGAACATCATAACCACATAAAGACATTTCAGTTATTAATATGGTATTTGTTGAATGAATCAATGATTCTTTCTCTTGCACTTTGAAAATATTTAAATTTAAGAGGAAAAAGTCACCTCTAGATCCACAAAGTATTTTTTCCTTTTCTTTTTTTGAGTTAGAGTCTCCCTCCCTCTCCCAGGACAGAGACCTGCTGGGCTCCGGCGAGCCTTCCAAGTCGCCGAGCTACAGGCGTGCGCCACCACGCCCGGCTCATTTCTTTTTTGTTGTTGTTGTTTCATTTATCGTAGAGAAGAGGGCTCACCATGTTGCCAAGACTGGTCTCGAACCGACGGGCTCAGGCAATCCTCTCGCCTCGCCCTCCCAAAGTGCTGGGATTGCAGGCTGAGCCACCGTGCCTGGCCTGTATTTTTTCTTTAAGTTCTGCCCTGGACCGGGTGCGGTGGCTCAAACCTGTAATCCCAGCATTTGGGGAGGCCG